AATAATTGATTAGACAGAGAAAATATAATGTTTAGAAATTAATCTAGTACAAAATTACTCAAAGAAATAAAGAAAACGGCCCAGGTGCACCTCTTCAAACTAAACTTAACCTAAAAATGACAAAAAGTTCTATTTATATTAAGCTGAAAATATCTGAGAAAAATGCTCCTGCAAAGGCTGTGCGGCCAAATAATTCTGGTGCGGTCCGCACAATGAGCTACTGCGGCCGCACAATTATCGTGCGGTCCGCATTTTTGGGAACTTGGGTTTTGAACTTGGGGTCTTCTGCGATTTGCATAAAAATGGGTGCGGCCGCACTTAGAATTATGCGGCCGCACAAAAGTGATGCGGTCCGCACTCATTTACTTTCCAGCTCTCTGAATCTTCAATCCTGCGGACCACATAATAATGGATGCGGCCGCACTTGACCTCCTGCGGCCAAACAATTTCAGTGCAGTCCACATGCTTTTAGCTTGCCCAAAACACTACTCTCTGAATCTCCCTTCTGCGGCCGCACTATTGGCCCTTTTGCCTTGTTTTGGTTCTTGTTCACTTTTGACTCATTTGTGAGCTAATTTTGACTTCTTTGGCTAGTTTTCCATTGTTCCTGTAATCAAGCACATTTCATTAGTTTTAGGGAATACCTTTAAGTGTTTTAAAGCTAAAACACAAGTAAAAGAGAGTAAATAAGCGGTCAAAATCCCTACTTATCACTTACCATGATTTTTGACCTTTCACCTGTATTTGGGGGCCAGTTCTTTCCACAACGAGTCTCAGGCGTAGTAATGACCAGAATCTTTTGAACCCACTGGTCCAAGCCCTCAACTCTTAGTGGTATCTACCGATTTGATGAAGTAATGAAAAGAGAAGGATCAGTAACAATATGAAAAACGTTTTTTCAGATAAAAGACTGACTTTGAACTACGTGTACGAGTCTAGGGCTTAGGGAAAAATGGAGTTATGGTAGGGATGATATTCCTGGTGGAAACAACAGCAAACCTCTCCATCCATCCATAATCGTTATCGTCATCCATGATGGTGCAAAGTATGGTACCCACGTTTGCTAAAATTTATCACTTCCCTATGAAAAAATCTCGGGGGAGTAGGGATTCATCATGCGCTCCAAGGTGAGATCCTCATTCGTCTCCTGGCACATCCACCATAGACAGGCCACCGTTTTCCATACAGAAGGGCCCACCTATACTAAGAAATTTTGGTATTTTGGGTACAACTCCAAGATCACGGGGTGAATTCCCCCGCTCAAAGAAAACACATCCAAAGTAAATGGGTACATAAAAACATACATGAAACCTTTCTTAGAGGAGGTTACTCGCTCCACCAGTTCGGGAGCGATGATGTTCAGATCATGGCAATCACAATCTTCCTTTACAGCAAGAATGCTGGAAGGGTGGACAGAAGGTGAGTATATGCGAACAGCCCAAGTGCGAGAACTTGTAGAAGGAAACTTCTTTTCGAAGTCCTTGGTTGTGTTGAGTCTTTTTGGAAATGATGGTGCTCACCGTAGGGGGTCAGCATCAATGGTGATTTCTTTGTCTTTGTTCTCCTTCGGAACCCCACCGAAGAGAGAACTTGGGTTCTTGGAAGAAGAAGATATAACAGTTCTTTGAAGAAGAAGATTGAAGAAGAGTAAGAGCATGAAAGAGTTGAATGCAAAGAAGTTGAGAGTTTATGAAAGTATGAAGTGTAAAAGAAGAAGAATGTGGTGTATAAATAAAGGAATAAGAGGCTAAAATCGTGGCCATGATTACCTCGAGAACCAGCGAAAATATTGCTAAATCATGGAGTAATACGTGTTCGGGATATAAATGTGGAGAGACGTGCATCTAATCAAGCTTCAGAAACTTTTCAGAAGGGTTCAGAAAACTTCCCGCCAAGAAAGGAATCTTCACCAATTTCCCGATGACACAAAGATATGCCACCGGAAAGTAGGGGTACTATCTGTATAGGGTAACATCAATTCAGATTAAATAACCAAATGATAGAACGACACGTGGAACCGGAGACAGACGAAAGACGAAATGAGTGAAAATCAAGACCGAGGACAACAACTTTGCTTGGCACCGGGCAAACCCCGAAGGGAACATTGTTAACAAGGGCAAACGAATATTTGTCATCAAATGACACTCAATGAAGAATATTCCTCAGTATTAAATACACAATCCGTTAAAGAGAATTTGGCATTCATAGCCTGCCGTTAGGGGTGTACATAGGTGGAGTTGGTTCGGGTTTTGCAATTACCAAACCAAACCAATTGTGTCGGGTTATTAAATCTAAAGACCAAACCAAACCAAACCAATAAAACTCGGGTTTTTCAATTTCGTTTTTTCTCGGGTTTTCGGGTTATTTGGGTTTTTTCGGGTTTTTTTCCAGTAAAATCTTCGTAGCACAAAATATATAACTTGTGCTCAAAATATTTCTTTAATCCTAGTAAGATATAACTATATAAGGTATTTTTCAAGAAAATAATACAAAATATGAGATGTGTCATGACATTATCCTAAAATATTCAATGATAAAGACAATAAAATTATGTAATATAAATATTGTTAATTAAAAAGCCATAATAAAAATAAACATAATCTAAAAGTTCTAAGTCATGCTATAATAAGTAGACTAATAAGGGAGTATTAATTACATGACTAAACGTTAAAGAAAAAATAAATAGGTTATGTTTTTTTATCTAATCATTACAAAACAAAAAATAGATATTCAATACATTGTCGTTCCTAGTATCGAATTGAATGTCTTTTGTTAGCATTAGTATTGATTTAATTTTGGTTTGGGCTTTGTTAGCATTATTTAAGTTACTAATATCAATAGCTATAAAACTTGTTGGAACAAAAGTTCTAAGTCCAACCTTGAAATAATAATACTTTAAAAGATAAAATTATAAAAAAAGTTTAAGAAATATTTATAAAATACATCACAATAAGTATATTATGTATTAAATATATCTAGAATTTCTATATATGTAATGTCGGGTTGGTTTGGTTTTGGTTTGACTTTTTTTAGTTAAAACCAAACCAACCAATTATGGTCGGTTTTTTTTTTCCAACACTAAACCAAATCAAACCAAACCATAGTCGGGTTTTTTTTCTCGGTTTGACTCGAATTATCGGGTTGGTACGGTTTGTCGGTTTTCTTTGTACACCTCTACCTGTCGTTATATATTCATCAATGTCCCCCATCATTATCTTTTAAGAGGAGCTTGATCCTAGGACCTTGTTCCTTAAGTATAGCTATAAATAGTGACTTCAATAGCCATTGTAAGGGAGAAATTCTGACAAAATTATGCTACACATTATTCCACGCTAAATAATACTTCATTTCCTGTCTGTCAATATTGTTATTGTTGTCTTCAGAAGCCTTGCTCCCGGAACCAAGTTGCATGCTATCTTATCTAAATTTTAACGCTAAGTATTGCATTTTATTTAATTTATTTATTATTTTGGGATCAAATCGATTCGCTTGTCTATAAACCATACTATAAATTCTACTGTACTATTTTACGGGTAAACATTTAGTACTGCGTGCAAAGCACGTATATAAAGACTAGCTATATTTTTTTTTTTAAAAGTTATCTTATTTCCTACACTAAGAGAAGTGATTATTTTAATTAAACTATTAGATTATGAGATCTTTGATTAAGGAAGCATACCAGCGAATAGTTTTGACAAAGCAGTAAAGTTGAAAATATCATAAATAATATAATCTTGAGTTGGCACCTCTACTGGTAATGCTGCTCGGTGGGCCGGGCCTGAACCGGGCCGGACCGGGCCCGCGGTCCTANATAGCGTGAAATGTGTGCAATATATTGAGTAATATATATAAAAATGAATAGCGTTAAATATATGAACGATTATACGGCTAAGAACTATTAGAAATGATTTTCAGAAACGATTATCAGAAGTAGTATTATTTTTCAACTTAAATTTTACTTGTAAAACTCAATCAATTTAATGGTGGGCGCTGGGGTATTGCTTAAAATGAGAAAAAGCCCAAAATTATCTCTTATCTTTATGTTTAGACTTAGTCATCCCTATTTTGTTTATTTTTTTTTGGTTTTGCATTCGATGTCCCGCACCTATATTGGGGTCCGACTACATCCGTCTTCATGCTGGGAACAGGGGCGAAGTCATATGCCCAAAAGAGTGGTCAATTGACCACTCTTCGTCTGAAAATTACACTGAGTATATTGGTAAAACATTAGGTTTTATAAGTATATAACATATATTGAACACTCTTTGTCAGAGAAGTTTTTCACTTCTTTCAAGTTTAAACATTTTTGAGAAAATTTCTGGCTTCCCACTGGTCGGGAGGTCCACATTAGAGGGTAAAGTACTACCTAACAAAGGAGACGTCTTATGGAGCACTCAAATCAAAAATATTTGGTTAACAATAAAGGAGTACTTACCACTTCACCACAACCGTGGTTGGTGTCATCCCTATTATTTCACATGGAATATTAATAGTCCCCAAACTTCCATTACTTTCTTGACCTTGAGAAGATATATCGACTCAAAGACCTTGTAAAAATACTCAACAGAAGTCTTCCTTCTTTCTTTCTTAAATTTTATGTACAATCAAATCTGTTCTCATATAATAAAACAGATGAAGTACTATAAACTGATATCTCACGAGTTCTATACCAAATAGATTCATAATAATCATAATAACGGTACATGGTCATGAATATATATGGAAACCGCCATTCTATAAGCGAATTTTGAAACTTATTATACTTTAAGAATCATTACACTATTAATTTATGTAACTTGAATGTTACTCCATTAGAAATATTAAGAGAAATATAATTAAGGGGTAATAATGACGTTTCAATCACATAGAGGTACACATACATCTATATAAATCTATATGATTTCAGACCTATATCTCTCACACAAATTAGTTTACAGCAAATACAGTCACAAAATTCATAAAAAGAAAAAAAGAAAGAAAAAAGAAAATCACCGAAAATCATGTCGTGGCAAGCATACGTCGATGACCAACTTATGGGCTCGGGCTACCTGTCCGCCGCCGCTATTACCGGCCACGACGGCGGCCTTCGGGCTAAAAGCTCCACTTTTCCTGAGGTCTTCCATTTTCTAATTTCTATCCCCTTATTATGATTTTGTGCATCATCATACTTAATCTTGTAATCAAAGGCTGATTCGGTATTTAAGTTTTATAGGTTCAAATTCATTATGTTTTTAAGTTATGAATTTAAGTTTTATAGGTTTAAACTCATTATGTTTTTAAGTTATGAATTTATATCTACTAATTCCTTACACTTTTAGTGAGTTTTTACACTTTAATTTATACGCCACGCAGAAGGTAATGGATTCAGATGAACATAATGCTTTCAAACTGCATCTGCCCCTTATTATTATTATTATTATTATTATTATTATGATTTAAAGCCCGAATAGAAAAACAGTAATCTATGCATGCAGTCAACTATATAGTAAAGTTGTTTTATTATTTATTTTTTCTAATTTTGCATGCATGCTTACTCCTTTGTGATATTCATACTTTTAATGTAGTTCACACAATAGGAGATTAAGGCAATTATGGATGGTTTTACCGAACCCGGTTTACTTTATCAAAATGGCGTTCCTCTTGGTGGCACAAAATACTTGGTCGTTGAAGCGACATCAGCTAGCATTTATGGAAAGAAGGTACTATATATTTTATTTATATTTTAAGAATCTTGTTGAAATGAAACTGCAAAACTGCAGGGATGCTGCTTTCGGACAGCGGGTTCATGTGAACCTATACTTTCCATGCACACGCAGTTTAAATTTATGCATAAAATTATATTAAAATTACAATAAATAGTAGATTTGAACCCACAATTGTAAAAATATAATGGGTTCAGTGCAAATAACGGTAAATATTTGACCCATAGAACTAAAATCTTGTATCCGTTGTTTGAGCAAGTAGTCCCAATTCCTCCATGTGGGATGTACACAGATCGGGTTGCTAGCTTCCCCGGAGGATCAAACCCGTCTGGTGGAACAAGTTTGGTATACGATCTTCCCTTTATCACCAGACTGTGTTTCGATCCAGAATAAATGTATCCAGATATAACAGTGTACTAGTGGATTGTAGACAGGGTTGGCATCTCATGCCGACCCCATCTACATGGGTACTACTGTAGATGGGGACGGCATGAGAAGTACATGCATCAGTATTCATTTTGCCACTCTATTTATTAAAAATGCAGCCCCTTCTATTAATCGTCTATAGAGATCTGAGATTCAGTATTGAATTAAGTGCTCTTTAAGGATATGGTGTAATGCAAACCTAATAGTTTGAATTGATCAAGATGGTCTTACTTCAGATGGCTGTTTGTAATAATTCATTTAATCTTTTCTCATTCAGGGAGCAGGTGGTATTATTATCAGAAAGACTGTTAACACCATAATTATTGGGATCTATAATGAAAATGTGTCTCCTGGCAATAGTGCCATGGTTGTTGAGAAGCTCGGAGATTATCTCGAAGAAAATGGTTATTAATAAATCTTTTGGTAAGTATTATTCACCTTTGGTATTTCCTTCGTTTTTTTTTTTTTTTTTTTTTTTTTTTTTTTTTTGCAAGATTAATGAATTTCTAACCCACTGCCTTAATTCCTTTGAAATGGTTGCAGAATTTCCTTTCAATGTGTTTGGATTGTTGTGTTTGTTGATAATAATATTGGTACTCAAGAGCTTGAGATATGATTTCTTTATGGATTCAACAGTTCTCTTTTGTATTTTTCTTTTCATGAATTTGATTTACTTATTGTCAAGCAAGACTTTGGTTTATTTCACTTGGTGTAAAGTTTGGCTTATGTAATAAAATAAATTTGGGTTATGTTATAAATACAGCTCTTGGATTTATCTGATTAAATTTTTCTCTAGCGCTTAGCTTCTTCTTCCATGGATATTTAGTTTTCAAAATCATAAAAGTATCACGACCCAAAATTATGTGATTGACATCCGGAACCTTACCCAACCCAAATAGACTAACCATCAGACTTCTCCCACAAATTTCGGCTTAGCTTTAGAATATGTTCTTATACCGATATGTGTAGTTCCATAATATCAAATGCAACATTCGAACCAAACTCGGTGGTCTCCACTAGTAAGTAGTTACTACCAAAATATTTAATATTCCACAAAAAATTCATAGCTTAATAACTTCAAAATATCTATTTTATCAAATTATGACGTTTATAGTCAATTCATACCATTTGAATAAAAATCAAATTTAATCCTTTCTCTTACCTATCTAACCAGTGCTATTCCAATACCTAAAGATTTTGAAAATGTTACACTTCTCATTTTGTAAAAATCATAAATGATAAAATTCAAATATTTTATTCCTTTATCAATAACGTTTGCCTCAAGTTTAACCTGCCAAGAAGCTTTTGGAAAACGATATCTCTATAAAAAAAAACATGATACTCCATATTCAACATAATTCAAAATACATGGTGATACCCTTACCTCCTTGTCCGCACAAGCACGAAAGTATATTTTTAAACATTTTATCACGACCCAAAATTCACCGGTCGTGATGGCACCTAACTCAACCCACTAGGTAAGCCAACAAATAACTATCCAATTTCAATCATATTAATAAGATAATTAAACAGAAGAAATTATCTGAATTTTATACATTTCCCAGGGGCTGGTAGTACAAATCATGAGCTTCTAAGAATAGAGTTTACAAAGCTGAAATGAAATAGATACATAGTCTGTTTGATAAGTACATAACCGAGTTTTATAGATCTAAGGTTACCATGAATAAGAGGCAGCCACAACCGGGACGTACATACATCTTCAATCCAGCTCCCATCGAACACAACAACTTCAGCAGCCAACATCTGCATGCAAGGTGCAGAAGTGTAGTATGAGTACAATCGACGTCATGTACTTAGTAAGTAACAAACTAACCTGAGGTTGAAAGTAGTGACGAGCTAACACAAAGGTCGGGTCCAATGCTAATATTCCACAGCAGTTCATAACGGCATAGTACAAGTAATGAAAGAGGTATCTCAGAAATAAAATGCTCAGCTCGTTCACAGTTCCAGAAAATAGGCATGCTTTTCAAGGTATCGCAGTGAAAACCCAAATCATTTACCGAAAATGAAAAAAATACGAGTAAGTTTGAAAACTGTGATTTTTTCCAAAAAATCTTTTCAACAGCAAGTAAGATGTTTCATTTTAAGATAGCATGAGGAACGTACATCTCTATGCATATATCTCAAGTACGCATGACAAATGCAATGCATTTCGATGATGAGTTCATGTACTCACACTCTCAGAGTACTCAATCTCACTGTCTCGCATTCTCTCTCACTATGCTCAATGCTCAGCGTTGTACAATTTCCATGGCAGCGTGCAGCCCGATCCACACACACACACACACACACACACACATATATATATATATAGTCGACTGCGCTCACTGGGGTGCAGACTCCGGAAGGGCTTCTACAGCCCAAACGCTATAATCTGCACGGACAACTCACGTGCTGCACGGACAATTCACGTGATGTACGGACAACTCACGTGCTGCACAGACAACTCACGTGCTGCACAGACAACTCACGTGTTGTACAGACAACTCACGTACTATAGTATCAATATCAAAATCCGCACGGACAACTCACTGTTGATACCCAATTTTTTCTATATATTTTAAATATGCATAAATGCTATCNCAAATTATTGTTATGATAGTTCATTTATTTAATTTCTATACTTATGCCAAAATATAACTAATATAATTTTTATGCATTTTTATAATTATATTTAGTATTTTTTAAGCTAAATTGTATATAATTACAATGTTAGCCCATTTTAAGATATAATTATATTTTATATGCATAAAATTAGTCTCTATATTTTTGAAATATTAATTATGTATTTTAAATCATTTTGGCACCTTAAATTATTTTTCAGAAATTACCTATTATTTTTATAAATTAAAATAGGGAAAAACAGGCTATTGAAATAATAGTCAGATTTGGCTTTCAATTGTAGCCCAAATCGGACCCAATCCTCAACCCAATTTCTATTAAATAACCCGACTAGGACCCTACAAACCCCTAGCCAAACCCGGAACCTACCTACCCAGTTGAATCCTGACCATTGATCTACCAAATCAATGGTCCAAACAAGCCTCTTCCTTTTTTAACTCTAATCAACCCCCCTCCCCTCCAAACCCTAATCACTTTTCCAATCTGCCGCCTTGAGATGCTCTCATCTCCCTCTTCTCTCTCAACCTAACCCTAATCACTTTTCAACAGCCGCCTCCTTCTCCGGTCATCTCCGACGACTACCTCTCAACCCCAAAACCTCCAATGGTCACTCCACTGCCTTGCTAATCATCTCTAAGGCCTTTAAGGATCCTGGGCCATGCCAATTTAGATCTAGGATTTCTGTTTCTATTACTCATGGGTTCTCCGGTGTGATTTTGGGCTAAATCACACCTTATTTATCATGATCGGCGACGTTTACGACAGGTTCTTTCGATTTCTATTTGGGTTTCCTTTGAAACCATAACTCTCGTATGAATCTCTCAGATCTGCACTATTTTATGCTTTAAGTCTGTTTCTTCCTATGCTTTGCACTATTCTCGAACTTTTTCTGAAAGATCCTCAACTTTAAACCGATTTTGCTTTCTTTAAAAATTAGGGTTCCTCGGAGTCCTTTCTACACTTGTTCTGACCGATTTTCTTTATGATTAAACCTCTTTCCTTGTTTATTTTTGATCGATCTTATGTTCTTAATGCTTTTTAATTCGCCTATGTCAAAAGCCCTAATTTCTAAGGTTTCTTTGCTTTGGTTTTGTGTGTTAGCTTATTTACTTGATTCTTGTTAATCTACCGGGGTCACCATGCTTCGAATGTGTTTTACTGAATCCTTAGCCTACTTATGTCACTTTTGTATGACTATGCTTATTTGTTTGTTTATCTCTTGTTTCTTTCTGTCGATATGGCTAACCCTGCATGTTTGCTACGTCTGTCTGGTCTTCTCTATTTATATGTTGCAATATAGAATCATGATCTCTCTTGATTTGATTCTGATTTCCTTAATTGATGGCTTGATTGCAAGATTTTCTTTCAAAACCCTAAAATTATACTCATATATTTAAGCTGACTGATTTTATTACCTTATTTGCTATGATGCTTTATTTATACTGAGTCGTGTCCTTAATTGAGGCTTTATGAATTTAGTCCTAATTGTATACTCTATGCCTATTGAACCTTGACTCCTTCCTTATTTAGTCATGCACTGATTTTTCTTCTTGCCTTATATGATACTGAACCTTCGCGTTTGATTTGATTCCCTTAACCTAAGGGAGTACTTCCTTGATTCTCCAATTGATTGACTCTGAGTTCTTCAATTATTATGTTACTACGATTCTTACCTTATTTCACCACCTATTTTCAACTATAAATACCCTAAGTCTTTCATTAATAGACAGGCACACTTAGTTTTTAAAACTATCTCTCTTACTAAAAAATCCCTGCTCTCCCCTTTCTCTTGTGCTATTTGCTGCTATTAGCCGGCTGCAAAGCAAGGCCAATCATTTCTGCTCTCTTGTTCTTTCATTCTGCTTACTTCTCTCTTCACTGGTATATCCTAGTTTTAATTTAAAGCCTCAACAACAACATGCTTCTCTTATTGCTTCGGTTTCTCTTATTTCTAGTCTGCTTGTACTTGTGGTTCTGTTGTGAAACTTGTAGTTGAGTTACATTACTAGCATGCTATTATGTTTCCCCTTCCCTTTAGATTAATGTATTCCCTTATGTGTGTTTCAAAGCATGCCTTGTCAATTGTATTTTATTTACCATCTTATGAATTCCAAATCCCTATCCCCCTATATGTGTTTATGTTCTCCCTGACTGGTTTGTTATTATGCCAGTGTCAACTATTTCTGAGCATGTCATAACCAGTCCTAAGATCCTTGCTGGGATTATGTGTTTGCAGTCAAATGTCTGTGTATCCTCAAACCCCTTTACCCCTATGTGACTATTGAATTCATTTGGATTCAATTGTGTGTGAGCCTATCTTAAGGTGTTTGAGCTTTGTTTACCACTCCAACCTCTTTTCAAACAACCTCAGTTGCTTTACTAATGGCTTTCAAAACAGACTTTTAAATCCAATTTTTAATAAACCTCTTTCAACTTGTGTCCTGCACTTTTACTTTACTCTTAGTCAATAAGTTCTGCCCCCTCTAGTATGGGTACTGCCTTGGGATCCTCTTGAGAGCCCTCTGAACTCTGGCATACTGAGGCTGACCTTTCCAGACTACACCGGTTCAATGCTTGGTTGATAAGTCTAGGTGTAAGCATTATCCGGGGTCCTTGAGACCCTTAGGGAACTTTGATGCACCTAGACTCTGATTTGTCTATGGAAATGAGGCTTGTGAGACCATTGGAGGCATTGGAAAACTTGAGCCTAATTGCAGGCTCCCTATAGAATAGCTTCTTGATTTCTATTTCTACTTATGTAATTCATTT